CACTCACTGAGTAACTAGCTCTCAAGTATACTATCTGGCATGGCTTTCACAAGCTATCTAACAAAGCAGAATCTTTTATAGTGCAGCTAAGTCCTTTTTAAAGCCCTTTGCAGTGTTTCTATCACATTTAAGAACTTGGACAGAAGAATGTCCTTTACAAGCCTAAGCCTGAAAAGATGCTAATTTACATTTCAAGTTTCTTCTGGGCCATCAGTTATAAGCAGCAACCTGCTTTTATAGGTGCTACTTGAAAGCACAAGTTCTTTTTAAAGACTCCTTTGGACTGACAACCTTGTTTTTTTATAGGCCACTTTATCCCCTCTCTTCCCCCTTAGATTAAAAGAGTTTGCCTTATTTTAACTGTACTTACATCCTGTGAAATTCCTATTTCCTTTTGTAAAACACATGTTTTCTTAGTGGTATTTGTATATATTCAGCTAAAGTCAAGAGTATAAAGTTGTACTAAACTACTTTTCTTTTTTCCTTTCCACTTTCAAGATAGGACTTCAAGCTTCTCTTGGAATGTGTAATTTCAAGGAAAAGATATGGAAGAGGGTAAGTGGACCCAACCATTATGATCACATTTTGTTTTCATTTAAGTCACAGTTCTCTGTTTCAGCATCACTTACCAGTCGCTGCTCATATTATTTAATACACCCCCACCTATTCCCTGTTTTCCTCTAGGTTTAAGAATGCAGAGAACTAGGATTCAAATGAGATGACAGTCCTTTAAAAGAAAAATCAGTCACTGAGGCACCACTCAGGCAGAGTTTCCATCCAGGATAAAAATGAACCAACTGTCATTTAGTCAGAATTCTATAACAGCTATGTAAATACACAATACAACAACAAGTAATTCATATTTTTCAGTTCACCAATATTCCATATGTCACATGTTCTGCTTCTATTGCTAATACAGAAGACAATAGGAAAGAAGTACAAATGGAATATTTTCTGAGGTGTATATAAAGAGATAAGTGCTTGTATTTAAGCCTCTGAAACCCTTCCTGAAGGCAACTGAAGATTTTGTTTCATTAGAAATGAAAAAAATATTGTCATATAGAAGAGTATTTGATCACTGCGTAAATTAAAAATTCAGATTCTTTGACAAAGTCAAAGGATTTCTACATTATCTACCAGAAGAACTGGAAGAGGTGATATACACATAGCTGAAGTCTTACAGACAAGATACAACACAAGATAATTTGGATCTGCAGTAAAAGTTACTTCAGAGGATAATAAGACATGAAATAATTTTGCACATTGGTACATAAACAACAACTAAGAAAAGGTTAATCAACTGCAATTGTTATAGTGCTACAGCTATGCTGGTTTAAGAACACAAGGCAAGACTGATAGAGCAGATCTAATGAAAGAGATTACTTCAGTCACATGAACAGGTCACAGAAACATTCAGATGAAAGCATACCCTTTCTCAAACTACCTCGGTTCATCTGGTAGAGCTTTTCTCCTGTTGCAAACTTATGCTACTGAAACATTTACAGGCATCTGCTGCATATTCACTCAAGTGAATCATGTTACTGTGTAGATTATAGTTAAGGCTTCATACTGACAAGGAATACACTAATGCTTGGCATTACCTTTATCTACTTCACCTGCTGCATAAAGTTTTTCCTAGAGAATCCATGGGAAAAACTTGTGATATCCATTCTATATGTGTTTCCATTACCTTCAAATTATAATGCATGCATTCCTACATTTAGATCAGAAGATGGCAGCTTACATTTAATTTATATCAGTGTTAGAGTGAATAACAGCAATATACACAACAGATTATCGAGCATTAGGGAAAAAACATTTTAAACTGAAGGCCACCTCAAATGATCACAGCAATTATCTGAGTTTTCAACAATGTTTTCTCTGCAGAAAGTTTGACATCATTTAAAAAACAACAAAACAAAGAAAAACAAGGCAGAACAGCTGAGACAATTAACAATGCAATGGTTTCATATAATTTCCAGTGACTCAAATCCAAACTTCACTACATTTAATGAGTTTCTACACTGCTCCTAGGCAGCACCAAAAGCAGTCACATGTGGGTGTTAACTTTTATTAGGCATCTCAACAGCAGACTAATTTGCAACTTTGCAACTGTTGGTCCCACAAAGCACAGCTTTTAGAGGAATAGAAGCAAAAAGCAACAACAACAGATATTTTAGGTTTACCAGATTAAAATCATCTGAATATCAACTTAAACTTCTGCATCCATCAAAACACAAGAAAAAAGTAAGAGAAAACAATACTTTACATATAATATCATATGAAAACTGTTTTTGCAGAGAGGCTGTTCAGGTGTTCCAGCCTGCCCAGGTCTTCAACTACTAATAGCTGCTACATTGCAGGGAAGTCCTCTCTTAATGCTACTTCACAGAAAAATAACTGTTGCAAATGACACAACACTGCACAGAGGCATCAAGAGAACATACAGAGCAAGAGGCATGACCCCACAGAAGATGGTTACACACTATCACACAGCACTTCAAAATTGTGACAAGCATTGCACTGTAGCACACAGCACTATATTTAGCATACTATCGCCCAGGCACAACTTCCGAAAAAGTAAAGATAAGCAATGCAAGTTGTTATCAGTAATGCCAAGCTTCACACCGAAAAGAAGTTAAATAAAGAAACATTGAAATCCAAACAAGGCTGCAAAACCCAAACCAGACGCATCTGAGATCTGTAAAGCACCAATCCTCATTTACTCAGCTGTAACCGCCCAGCAGCTTTGGTCATTTGGAGACATCTCCCACCTTCCTTTCCCAGGAGGATGCCACAATAAAGCCATGAAAATGCAACACACAGGATATGATGCTACACTTCATCAGGCAGCCCCAAGCATAGAGACTTCTTCCTAAGCAACACTATCGTGTTACTGGTGATTATTGCTACATCTTCCCATTGTGCTAGATGCTCGAAGGAGAGCCAAGAACAGCACAATCTAGATGTTTTCAATACACAGCTGAATAACTTATATTCAACCCTCACAAAACTTTATACCCTAAGCTTCTTCCATTACTCTCAACTCCAAACTTAATCCAAGAGGGAATACTGCATTCTGGATGCCTTTCTCACGAAAGAAGGATTTCAACCTAAATCAGTTACAGATCAAAAAAGAACAAAAAGCTTTGTACCCAGTGTTTGTTGAAAGCACAAGTTTTTTGAACTCACTCTAGATGCCCTCAAATTTCAGACAAGCTATTTTACCAAAGCATAAATACTTCTGTGCAAGAAAAATTCCTTATCAGTATATGAATACATTTAACATGTCCATAATACATGGTTCTGGAAGAAAACATACCAAACTACAACCAAAAGTCAAATCACTGAGATCTCAAAAGGGCTGAGTACATCAAAATCCATATATATTTTTAATAAGTCTAAATAGTCTCCTCATTTTCAACACAAGAGCTGACCATACAGCACTTGCGTTCACATAAAGAAACTGAGCATCCTCCAAAGCACACATTGTAACTGGCAGTGCTTTATTCCTGTGGGCATGGTGACAATATGGAGATGGAAAAGCACACAATGAGAATAAAAGGTTCATGCAGAGGAGAAAAAGGTGCAAGAGATAAAAGAATTTTATGAAGTATAAAGTTCTAGAGGAAAGACAAAGATTGGTTGAGAAAAATAAACTTGGTGTTTGGCTCAGCTCCCCAGCCCTGCATCTCCTAAAGCTGAGGAAAGCCTGGATTCTTGGAGTCTGTTCCAAGTATCTTTGTTCTTCTCGCATCGATGAACTCACTGGAAAAACATCCATCTCCTCCAGTGCTAGTCTATTTCCCACTGCTATTGGCATTCCTACTTTAGTTTAAATGGCAAAGGCCTATGCAAATACATTTCAGTCCAACAGATAACCCACGTGGGTATCAGTAAGAAGTCATAACATGCCACGATGCTTGCAACAGTTTTATTTTTAACTACATAATAGAGCATTAGGATTGCTAACACAAAAATTAAGAAAAGCCACAACTCAGGCTGCCTTGTGCAACCCTCACTCACTGCTTGTATGCAAACATTATTAAGACCATTTGTATTTAAGATGACATACTATGGTCTTGAAGCAGATCTTCTGTAAAAATGAAACCACAAAAACAAGAGAACATTTACCCTTCCTGACTAGTTTGAAAAGTTAAAGAATCTGTGACACATATAAAAAGAGTGAGACTAAAAAGAAAAAATGCAAAAAAAAACTAGGGAATAGGGCCACCAAAATCAATCCTTGCCATTGCCACAGAGTGTCCTATATGACAGCAGGCTGGCTACTACCTCAGCCTTTATGGTTGGTCTGTTTGTTTGTTTTATTTTTTAAACACTCTCCTCATTTTACAAGTACCTGTTTAGATAAGCTGGAACCTATCCTGCATAGGCTCTCAGTAATCTAGCAGCAGTTAGGATTTAAACATATTAATTGCTTTACACTGTAAAATACACATGGAGAAACAGCAGAACTGTAATAGTGTTCCTGCCAGAGGAAAGAAGCCCATCACTATCAACAGAGTAGTTGGATGCTGTGGTGATAACCAGCAAAGGAAGGCTGAGAAGTAATTTAATAAGTCTGCTTTTCAGGAAGGCTTTCAGTAATGTAGATTGAATAAAACAGAAACTGTACAGAAAATAATAAAGTTAAATACAAGATAGCAATGAATTAAATGAATGCAATCCATCCTAATACCACAGTCCTATGTAACAAAACACACCTAAAACGTGAATGCGTGCATTCACATAATCAAAAGGCAAAGCTAAATAAATGCTGTAACCATGTACAGTTCATGCCTAACTCACAAAAAACTAAGCCCAATCTACAGAGCAAATCAAGATGTGGGCTTATAAGGGGTCTAAATTCAGTCATACTTAGAGAAGCCATACACATCTAAGCAAAACAAAACATTAAAACACATTACAAGACTACTTCAAATGCCTGACTTGCAAATACAAGAGGAAAGATGCACCGACACCCGCAGATGCTCACTCACCTTGCTGCAGTAAAGCATCCACAGCTCGTACAGCCTCTCCCGGGATGCCATTCCTCCCCTTCCTCCTTTCCTCAGTGCCAGCTCCTTCCGTTCAGGATCCAATCATGCCCAGTTCCCCAGTGCTCTTCCCGCAGTTTTCAGCTTGTTGTGACACTTATAATCCAATAAGAAGTCAAAGATTAAAATAACAGGGTCTCAGTCTCTCCTTTTTGGGTAAACATAGTACGACACCAGAGACTGAAGACAGCAGCCGAACACGCCCGTTCCTCGCCAGTGGCACTCCGGGTTTAATGTCTGAAAGCGAAAACACACCCTTCAGGCCTCCAGCGGAGGAGAGCAAAACAAACCCGGACTTAAAGCCCACGGCCAGCCTCCGGAATGACGCGAGGCCAGCGGCACCGCTTTCAACCCCCAGCTTTACCTCAGCACGGAGAAGCCCGGCTGCCGGTCCCCGCGCCGCCTTCCCGGAGCTGGAAAGAGCGAGGGACTGACGGCAGACGCCGAGCACGGAGGGTTCACCCGCTAAAGGGCCCGGGCGGGCAGTGACAGCCGCCGCCCGGTGCCCCCACCGCGAGTACCGCAGCCGCCCCGGAGCCAGGCGAACCGAGGCGGCGGCCACCCAGACGGAGACGCCGGCAGCGGCCTTCCCCATTCCCCGCGAGAGAAGCCCCGCGCCGCGCCGTCCGCTCCGTCACCGCCTCCCGAGAGAGCGCCGCCGCTCCGCGCCGCCACCTACCGCATCCCCGACCTCACCCAGCTTTCCCCGCTGCTCCGCGGCCTCTCCCCACAGCCCACCTGTGCCACGGCGGGAGGCGGCCGGGCAGCCCAGGGTACTGAGTGGGCCGGGCCTCGCCACATCGCCCGCCCCGCCCGCATTCCGGCACACGCCCCAGCTGCCGCCAGGGGGTGGAGAAACCACGGGCGCCATTTTGGCTGCGGGCACGGCCGCAGGCGGGAGTTACCCTGCGGGCGGAGTGACCGTGATCGGGAACAGCCAGAGGCCTGGAGGCCCCAATGCCATGACGCGGCTGTCCCCGAGCCCTGGAAGCAGAAAGGCGCCTGTTGCGCGCCGGACCCTTACCTAAGGAGAGGTTCTATCAGCACAGCATCTCGCACAATTGAAACAGGCTTACGCAGCCTGAGGACCACATATAAACAAACGTATAAGCTGCTGCTGTTGTTTTAAAGCAGCCTGTGCCTCGTGTACAGAGTTCACACAAGACTAAAGAAATACTCCTGCAAGTTATCAGATTTCTGAAAAAGAACAAGAAAAGACCTCAGCTTGATGGTGTGGCTTTTCCCAGGCACATCAACAGCTATCCAGCTATCCAAGACAGAGCGTGTAAGCTAAAGGCCTACTACACCATACCTCCGTAGTCTCAGCAACACTAGAAAGAGACTCTACATCTATCTGCTCTCTTAAAAAACAAGACCAGAAACAAGACTGTATCTAATTCTAAAGCAGGGAGAGCAAGCTTTAGGAAGACCTGAGCTTTTATCTCCAGTGTAGGGGAACAGTTAGGGCTTGAACTGGTACACCTGGTGAAGGGCTGTGTCTGGCCCAGGGAGCACAGGCAGATTGTTTGCACCTGTGCTCCCCAGCTGACCAGAAGGGCACAGGGTACAGCCCCCTGGGCTCATATAAGAGCCAGCCTCTGAAAGGGAAGCATCTTTTAGACTTGGGCTGTTTCTGAAGAAGAATGCTATATAGCCAGAGAGCTTTTTCAGCACTTGGGTGAGTTCTATTTCTTCTTCTATATAGGATTATTGGTCTCTCTGTGAGTACTTTACCTGATATTTCTGAGAACGTATCAGAAACAATTTTACTTCTTTACAAATAAGGACTGTTCTGTAAGGAAGGCATTAATGAAATGAGATTGCTAGGTCATAGCCTTAGCTAATGATTGAACAATAGCTATGAAGTTGTGACTAACTCAGGGAGCTCAGGTGTAGGTGATGTTTTTGAGTGAGCAGAAGAGGTAGAGCCTGGATCCGTCTCTCCTTATCCTTATTTAAGAGCTAGCAGTTAAAGGTGTAACACCTCTCTATCTCTGGATAGAGGTTATTCTTCTCTTCAGCTATTATTGATTGTTGGAAGGGGTGAGTAGCTCTTTTTCGTTGTTACTTCTTATTGTTTTGTAGTGCTTGTATCTCATTTGGAGGTGCTAACATTATTTTGTTTTATCATACATTGATCCTGAATCCTTAGTTGTAAGCCTTTGGCTTCTAATACTCCTTCTTGCTCAACTAAATCCTCTACAGCTTCTTTTAGAATGTAAACTGTTATTCACTACGTAAGCATTTATGTATGGGGCATTTCTGCAATGTTTTGGTTGACACTCAAAAATCTATTCTCAAGAAGAATTTAGTAGAGTCTCTGTTCCTGGAGCTGTTCAGGAAACGCATAGGTATGATTCTGAGTGATGTGGTTAGTGGGTATGATGTGGTGGGGTGGGTTGGAGTTGTACTAGATAACATTATAGAGTGGCTTGGTTTGGGTGAGATATCAAAGGCCACCTGATTCAAAACTATCTGCTGTGGGTAGAGTTGCTAGCCACTTGATGAAGTGCTAGATTGTGATCTTAGTAATCTTTCACATCCTTAACATCATTAATAATTACATGGAAACTCAGTGAAAAGGAATTGACTATGTAATAGTATGGTATTATCTGCTTTATGAAAAATACTTGGAGTTGAATGTCTTACCAAGAGCCTAGTTTGAGATCAGTTCTTGCACTTATGACTGCATTTTTTGCTTTCAGAATATCACTATAAAGTTTTTCTGTAAAATAATTAAGGACTGATCTGTGTTTGGTACTATATCATTCAGTAGAGGGAGAGTGGGAGTATGTATCTTTTCCTGCAGTGCCTAAGCATAGTTACTAGCATGAGTGGAAGGGCACTAATAAAAAAAAAAACTTGTAACATTATTTTTAGTGGTATGTTACACATACTTGGGTACTTGCTACTAGCCATAATGCTCTGAGGTTGTTATGTGCCTTTTTTATCAAGAAGAACTCCTAAGAGTTTAGAGTTCAGCGCTGCCCTCAGGGCAGGATCTGCTGTGCTTCACCCCTAAATTGCTTCCAGAGGACATCCTACCTCCTCTGACCATGTTCTTGCAGGACTTCTGGAGTGAACACAGGGCATTCTCATTTGCCTCTTCCACAGTCAAAAGGAGATAGATAGATCTTTGTGGTGTGCTTTGACATCTGTAGCTCCTCATCTTTTTGGAGTCTTTCTCCAGGATAAATTTAACTATTTCCCTTTGAGGAATTGAGGCACAGTTGAATCCAAATACAAACCCAATCTTTCTGAGATATTTCTCCATTTTTTAATTATTAATGTTTGTGAGCAATTACAACTTTATCCACATCCAGGGGAGATGTTGCAGCAGACCTTAGTGAAACAATAGACTCACCCTGATGAAAATGAAGTTCTGCTTCCCACTTAACTGGGCTACTTGTGGGCAGCAAAATAGACATTTCCCCCTCTGCTAGATTTGCAGTAGTATAGTTTACCCTGGGGAGGTCTAGGTAGTTACTGTTGATTGTATAGACAGTTCTTGTGTTCTGTGGGTGCTCTGAAGGGAGAGTGAAGTATTAGTGTTTTATAGCATGTTGGTCTGTTCCTGTGACATGGTGAGCAGTTTCCTGGTCTGATTTCCAGAGGGTCTCCTACAGCTAAGTTGCATACTGTAAAGTCATTAGTGTGGTTTTCTGGAGGTCTGTATTTTGGATTTGAGTGAAGTTCAGTCTTTTCTGTTGGTATAGACAGCTGGCAGGCATTCAGTATTCTCTGACTTAATGAGTTCTTTATCATAGTGCAAATATAAGCAAAGTGAGGGAGGTCTGTGGAAAAAGGTGGGCTACAGTTTCATCCCTGTAGATCTAGTATAATTCCTGGTGATTTCAGTGTACTTTTACTTTGTGGAGAACTGTCTAAGGATATGAAAGTCAAAGAATGAAAGAAGATTTAGAACAAGAGTTATCTGTGTGCTTTAAGATGTATTTGTGGATTGGTCTATTTGTGAAAGGTAATTACTAATTTTATTGGCTTTATATTGCTTTCTTTTTTGTAACTTGTTCCAATTGCTTCATGGACATTAATTACTCAGGTTGGTGGTGCTATTTGTTTTTCATTGTCCTTCAGCAGCTGTCTTGTGATAAATCTGTTTACAACAGTGGTTTTTCCCCATACTTTGCTCATCACTTGTGGTTTTGAACCTTGTATCTCTTCAGTAGCTGTATGTTAGTGTCTCACTGTGCACTGAACTTGTTTAGTCAACAAGTTAGATAAGAGTGGGTGAAAAGAAGGGTGTGGATTGAGAGAAGGCAATCTGAGAACAAGGAAAAGCTCAGTAATTGACCTTTCTGCAGCTTTGAACTGAATAATCTCTGAAGTGGAAGAAACCAAATGAGAACACCTGTCTTATAGTAATGTTATTTTTAAGCTTCTTTCCTTTATGTGGAAATGGAGATGTGTATACTGACTTCCAGATTATCTGGAACTGGTCTTTGCACTGTAAGCTGACAGCCTTGGAAGCTCTGTCTACTACCGAAATACTGTATAGAAGTAAGATTTGTGGATGCTGGTTTCTAGCACTCAGGCCCAATTAGCCCCAGAATGTGTTTGGGTTGGTTATTAAGAAGGAACAAACTGGTCCTGGCAAGACAGTTAGGCCTCTGAGATGGTGCTCTGCGGAGGGTAGCACACTATTGGCTTTCTGAGAGTTTCTCTGCTTGAATTTATGCTAATTGAGTGCAGCTGTTCTGGGTAAGCTAGCAAATGTAATGTGTTTAATCTTCTGTCACCATATTCATGTTGTAACCCAGGTAGGTCAGGGCTTGTTCATTGTTTGCAAGATTTGGAAATGGGAAGGAATTTGTTTGTCCCTTAACAAATAAGCTGGTGTTTAAGGTTTTTAGTTGTTTAAGTGCTAGAGGCTGACCACAGCTAAAGCTGGGGAGTGATAGCTAATAGCATTAAGTCCCTCTAGCCCCTAGCTGTTCTGCTTTCACATATTCAGGGTTAAAACATTCATCACACTTAAATTCAGGAAGGAATTAACCCCAGGGTTGCCTGGGACTATGGCGAGTGTTTTTGTCCTCTGTACTTTGATCTCATTATCGCAGGGGAACTGCAATATAATGAATCCCCTGCTGTAAAAGGCCTGGGCAGTAGCTTGATCTTTTCTGTTCTTTTTCTGCAGCATCAGCTCCTTTACCAGGGGCCTTAAAATTGCAGTTGTGCTGGGAGTTGTCTTATGTCAGGTACAACTTCAAGACTCTTTGTAGCTAAGTATTTAGTATGTGATTACAGGCTTATCTTCCACCAAAACTGACTTCTCACTTGAAGTAAACCATCCTCTTGTCTACTTTATTATTGCCAGTGCTCAGTGAAGCTACCATACTTTCAAGACAAATCATTCTGCTTTAGTAAAGATATAATTTAACAAATTATTTCATTATGTTGCAGAGCGTAGTCTCAGTCTTCTGTGTAACTTCTGAAAGTGTTAAGTGTCAGGGAAATGTCACCATTTAAGAATGTGTAGCTATCTGAAGATCTGAGCTCTGTTTCCTCTCAGCTGACAGGGTGCCTGTTCAGAGAACACCAGCTATAGGAAGTTATGGCTTATGGATGCACTGTCAGATCTTGCAGGTTAACTTATCTTGGTTTGGAGAAGAACCCAAATGAAGTCAGAACTCTAGTTGCTGCTGGAGGTGAGATTCCTGCGAAGTGTTAGTGTTGTGGCCTACCAGAAGCAGGGATGTTGCTTGCAGCACAAGGCCTCCTTGTG